GGAGAGCACTTCCGAATCTCTAACAACTAAGAAAGACGATCCTCTTTCATGGCCTTTGGAGGCCACACTGCAACCTGCTGAATGGCACACACTGAGCTGCCTGCATCTTTCAGAACTGATGGATGACGCTTGACGCTTGGCTGCTCTTGCACTTGGGAAGCCAAAGGGAAAGAGCCCACACGCCTTCCCTACTTGTAAGTCTTAAAGACTAGGTCAACGCTGTTACTTGGAACTTCATCAGACAAAGGCCTCTGAAAGGTTCTGCTCTTCGATTTAGTCAGCTGCTTGGAATGGGGCAGCTGGAGGTCATGGGCTGTCCTTAGGAGAGACTGACCTCTCACACCAGGGTTTCCATCATGAATGTGCTGTCCCGATGTCTCTGGTCCATCGGCACTCTTGGGACTTACACATTTCTCAGTTCAGGAAGTTGTTCTCTCCGTTCATGCGAAACTTGAGAGGAATCTGGATTCAAGCAAGTATGCTAACTGGCATCTACAAGCTATAATTGAAAAGTTCCAGGGTGTCTAATTTTCACAGTGCCCGGCATGACTCATGAAGGCTGTGTAGAAACCCATGCAGACTTCTGTCAAGGACTTCATTTGCACACCTAGATTAGCCGATTTCTCCTTGCTGAGAGGGACGCATATGGCATTCACACACGGAAAGGTGCCACCTGAGCAGAGTCTCTCTCTGCTAGACATTTCTCTAACTAGACATCTAGGGAGGAATACAAAGGAACATTAACGAGGTCTGTGCTTGCTAGTTAGCACGACTTAACGGCCTGGTCTTCCTCTAATCCCCTGAAAGGAAGGATCAGACTACTGGCAGGAAGAAGTTTTTCAAAAAGAACAAAGGGAAAAATTTCATAAAATCATTAACAAATACTTTAAGACAAAAATTCAGTAATATGAAATGCTACCTTTTAGTCACCAAATTCTAACAATTATGCACATATATATCCCTATGGATTCCAGCAGAAAGTAGGAAGACTCCAATCTCCAAAGCAGAGGGAAGATGCTGGATCCAAAGGACCACGAAAACGAATGTAGCAGACACAGCAAGACCTTACCTCAGAGACAAAACGGAAGAGGGGAGGCAAGGGAGGGGGACGAAAGAAAGGAAAAGCAAATGCGCTAACAGAACGGAATGAGGTGTGCCCTAGAAGACAGCAGTTGTGTATGAAATCACATGTTGATGAGACCAGGGATGCATGCGTGTGGGCAGCGAGGCTCAGGGGTGATAGGGGAGCACGCAGAACCTCACTCACCCCTTTGAAGATCAGAGATGTTCCGGATTTGATGGTCTCACCATTCAGATTCCCCCTCTCTGCACCATACACTTCAGGCCAAAGGTCAGGATGCAAGTTCCCATTGAAGTCATCTTTCAGGATGGAGGGAAGGGGAACCACAGGCACACAGTAGGGTCCACCAAAGCCCCGGTCACACCTACCGAAAGGAGGAGAGGAGAAAAAGCTGCATTTATTATGACGTCCACAAACCAGTCTCACTGTGGCTCTGCCGAGAAGAAAACCGGGCTTTATTACTCACACACAGCGTCCAGCATCACAAGTCCCCTTTCCTGAACACATCCAAGGACACCCCGAGGCCAGAACAACATTATCGAGAGCCCAGGAATCTCCTCCGGTGGTGTAGTTGGCCTGAATCCATCTGAACCGCGTTCTGGGCGAACTACAAAACAAACAGACAAAAAAAAAAATTAAATCAAACGAAACAAAGCACAAAACACTGTGGGCTTGACTGGCAATTCTGAAAGCATGGAGCATGAATAGCTATTTTATTTATTTATTTCTTCCACAGTCCGGTTTTCTGTCCTTTGAGACACTTTTACCTTCATACCAAGTACTAAGTGGTCTCTCCTCTTGATTCATAACAAGGAGAGCAGAATGCACACTTTCCCAATATTGTAGGACTTCTCTCCCAGGAAAGTCAACGGATGTTAACACTGCAAAGTTATCCAGAGATCTTGATGTATATTTTTGAAATTCAAAGTAATTTTAGTGTTTGCTTCTAGGCTTAGGGAAAGATTGAAGGCTCAACAAAGGGAAGATATTGGGAACTTACATCATTTTGGCAGTGAGGTTTCCATTCCACTGACCCTAATGGTTTCTCAGAGTATATGAGGTCCTATACTATGTTTGTTCTCAACATGATGCGTCTAAAGTCAAGCACTGGATAGAGCGCCCCTCTTTTCTACCATGTTGATAGTCTGCTATTGGGAATATATTAAGCATGATGACTAATCCTCGTTGTCAGCTTCATTGGATTTAAAATCTCCCTGGGACCACAGCTCTGGTCCATGGGTTCATGAGGGTGCACCCAGGATGATTTAACTGAAGGAGGTGGGATTACCAACATTTCCAAATTAGGTGACAGAAACCTAACATGCAGTCACAGGACAAGTCTCACTTGGTGGCGAGCGGAAGGTAGACCGTGACCCGTCTCCAGCTCTGGAATCTTTCCGAGGTGTAAATTGAGCTCTCCGTGTAGTGCGGGCAGCCGATGGTCGGAGGGACACACTCCTCGGTGACGAGATGCCAGTCCTTGCCGTTGTTCAGGGAATACTGGAGCTGCACGCTGTGGGCGCTGCTGAAGGGCTTGCTGCAGCCCATGCTCATCTCAAACTGTAAGAAGCTGGATGCCGACACATGAAAATCCCAGGTCTCGGCATAACGAGGTTTTCCTACCAAAGGCAACAGCAAGGGGTTAACCGCATCACGGAATGACGCACTCTCCTGCGATGCTTACGCTTGCTACCAACACTTTGCACAGCAAACCCAAATAACGGCTTGCGTTTACTGCCTCAGATCCGCGTTAGCTTTTCTTCCCACATTTACTGTTTTTACATGGTTGTCATAGAATCGGAAACACAGCAGGTTATAAAGTCAAAGGCCTTTACTTATCTTAAGAGGGACTAACAGAGTCATAAACTCTCAATTTTGCAAATTGCAAACTATAAGAATGCCCTCGGAGAGAGAGACGTTTCTGCCTTAAGTTATCTTCCTTCTCAGCATGCTCCATGAAAGAAAGTTCCGGCAGGCCCAGGTCACTGGGCTATTCTAGAGGACAACGTGTACCCTGCCCTCCACAGCAAAGGAAGTTAAGGCTCATAATCGCATAACAGAAAATTCCTTTCGAGTTTTAGCTAATTTAGCCCTGTAGTTAATCAAATACCCTTCCATTATGCGGCGCAATATATACCTATGTTTTCAGTGAATATCAGGGCAGTGTCCATAGAGACACAGTCAATATCCACTTGGCCTCCTTGGATTCGATACCAATTGGCTTGCAAGTCTATAGAGCCGTCAAATTTGTCTTGAAATCCAGTTTGAGAGCTGTCATTCACTCCGATAAGGACATCATCCAAAGCCCATTGGGCTGAATGCTTCCCTGCAATCAGATCAACAGGAGCGGTTGGAGAAGCTTCATTACACAACAATATGAATATCTTCGCGACCACGCTTTTAAATCAAATTGTCTGGAAACTGACGGTAAACTAACACACACACACATTACAAGTTGGAAGTCACCAGGAAGTCGGAGAGAGCGGCGACTCACCGTGCTGCGGCTGCCACCACCGGAAAGCAGTGGCAGGTGTCTTGGCCTCCCGCGGCAGGTCAATGGAGATGATCTGAGGCTCCAGAAACGACATGAAGTCCAACTCTCGGAGCAGATGCCAGAGTATCCCGTTGTCATTTGAGTACTGAACAACCAGCCCTGAGGTACAAGATAGAAACCCAGGGGCTATGACAGCTTTCTGGGAGGCAAGAAACAGTAGGTTTTTTTTTTTTTTTTTATATACAGCAAAACTGCAGCAAGTCCACATTATGTCTCAGAGAAGGCACACTCATCGTTCTACCTTCCAAGGCATGAATTCGTAGACTCAAAGACCCATCAATTTCCTGACGGTTTCTAATGCGCTGGCTCTCAGTAAATGAAGACAAGAAATACACAAAGCCCCTGTCAAGACACTCAGCTTTGTATGAGTGATGAGCGGGCTGGTGAGGGAGACATAAAATCCCGCTCCAGATCGTGTACTTGAAATTCAGATTCTATCTTGAGCATTACAAAGTCTCAGGTCATTATGTACTCAGAAGAAATATCTTAACTTCTCCGGCACAAGACCAGCTGTGCTCGTTGCTGCCGAAGCGCAGGGCAGTCGGCGGGCTCGGCCGGGGAGTCTGTTAGGCGGAGCGGCACTTCCGCATGGTGACAGGCCTTGATTTGTGGAACCCGAATGAGGTGGATTATTCAAGAGTAAAGAAAGAGACTCCACGCCCGGTTCTCCTTCCTGTCTGTGTCGCTCCTCCTTGCGTTTATCTGTCCACCTCCACCGTCACAAGGTGACGAGATCTGGGGACCTACACATCCCCGCTAGAGGGTCAGGCACCTCGTGAGCCATCCCTGCTAGAGGGTCAGGCATCCCTGCTACTTCTCCCAGAAACATTGTCCTTTAAAAGCGGACACAGGGGAAAGGTAACGATGAGCCAAGGAGAAAACTGCTATAGAAAATAAGATTGAGGGCCACATGTACATACACACACACACGACACACACGGATACAAATCGGTACTAGTCATAGGAATGCGCATCTGTGGGAGGAAGCAGAGGGAATGCAGCTCCTGGCTTCTTCCACAGTTATTCATAAAATTGGTATTGAGGCTACAGCACTCAGGAGAGCAAGTTCTGCACCCCACCTGGGTACCACAGTGGCGCCGACCCTGCTGGTGGGGCGCCGGTGAGCCTGCCCTGAGGTCATGGGGATGGGGGAGCTGGCCACGCACCTCACATTTGACGTGTGGTGGTGAGGGTGAGGGAAAGATGTCTTCCCCCTTCAACCCACACCACTTGTGGTGGACGAGAGAGCTGGCCTTGCCCCTTGTTATATGCAGCACTTGGGAGAGTGGTCCCTGCACACACACACACACACACACACAGACACACACACACACACACCCGCAACACAATAGAGCTGACCCTGGTGGTGGAGGTGTGGGCCAGCTGGCCCCAGAGGACATGAGAGGAGAAATGGCCCCACTCCTTGCTGCTCACTGCAGTGGGTGAACTAGCCAGTGCTGGAGAGCTTACTCTGATGGTTAGGATGAGGGAGAGCTGGCAGGTTGACCAACCCAGCTACCACCCAGACCCAGATCCAGGACTAAGAGTTGGCCTTTCCCAACATCCACTCCATCATCTGTGATCTGCTGGAGCCAGTCCCGCAGACCCAAAGCTGCAGGCTTCACCATAACACAGGACAACAACAGGAGATCCAAGGGGAACCCCAGTGAGGGTCCAGTACTGAAGATGTAGCAAAACCAGAGGCCTCAAACCAGACCGATGGCACATTGCAGTGAACTCTTATAAGTCATGATGTATGGAGTAAAGGGTAAGGATGTGTGACTCCCTGTGTCGTACTAGTTTCCACGGTGATTTTTCTTCTTGTTTTCCTCTTGTCTTTAACTTTTTTTTTATCCCCGGGGGGGGGGGGGGGTTGTGTTGCAAGGGTATCGAGATGCATGATGTGAAATCCACAAAGAACCAATAAAAAGTTAATTGGAAAAAAATGGTACTGAATATTTGTAATAATAGTTAGGGACGCTGATCTACTTCTTGAGCATTTATAGCAATTATGTCCAGTAAAGTTCTATCTGTTACGTCTTTAAGTTATATTTTAACTCTTGAAAAATTACCAATCATTTACGGCACACAGGACTTAAATACATCTATTGACTAAAGCTCCTCGAGTCATTGTAACACTAGACAATAAAGAGTTAATTAGCATAAAGCTTTGAGAAAAGAGAAAGCTGTTCAGTATAAATTGACAGTCCATAAAATTACGGGCACTGCATTCGACAAGTGACGATGCCCCGAACAGTAATGACAAAGATGTTAAAAGCTGGAAGCCTGCAGAGAATTCGGTCTGATATGTTTACCACTGAGGACGCTGTCAGGTTGGCTGAGAATACAGGCTACTCGGAGAACAGAGCCTTTCTGAGTTCACACACGGGCAGGGGTGGAGAGTCATTGGGGCCGTTGGTTGAGGGGACACCTATATATATTTCAGGGAAGCTGGGAGCCGCATGACTTCAAGAAGAAAATGGAATCAGGGGTGTCCAGTCTTCATTTGAGTCAGCCTGGGGGCTGTTTAGCCAAAGCGCTACTCGGTAACGCTCAATATTTGTTCAAAATATGTCCTATTAATTTTTTTGTCCTATTACTTTTTTGGGCGATGTTGGATGTCTGAGAGTATAGACACCTCACAACTTTCATTTTTGTGGCTATTAATTTGAATACACATAATTCATATTCAGTTAGGTAAGTGACAGAAAAGAGACTGGAGACGCAGGGGGGAGGGAGAAAAGAGGTGGGCAGTAGCTGACCAGTGGTTGACACCTCAGGAGACCACTTGGTCTTTACGAGGACTTGCTATGTGGCATACCACTTGGTCTTGCTATGTGGCATATCACTCCATTGCCCCCAAGTCAGAATTTGCATGCCAGCAAAGGTAAATTCTGAGAGACCTGAGGTGTTTATCAAAAATACTACTGGCTTAGCTCAGGAAGTGTGGCCTTCATTTGGGGCCTGCTTGCTGCCTTTCTCCTCATTAGCTTTTTTTCAGGAGAGTTGTGTCCACCTAGACACAGCATTGAGGTCTCCAGAGATGAACCTTGGTTCCAGTGCACGATGAGATAGGGTGATGTGGGGTTCCCCTCTATATGCTGTGAATACCATTGGTTAATAAAGAATCTGCTTTAGGCCTATAGCAGTGCAGAATAGGGCAAGGTGGGAATTCCAAGCAGAGAGAGGAGGAGAGAGTAGGCAGAGTCAGGGAGAAATCATGGAGCTGCTGCAGGAGACAGAGGGCAGACACTGGATGGAACCTTACTGGTAGGTCACGACCACATGGTGATACACAGATTAATAGAAATGAGTTAATTTAAGATATAAGAGCTAGCCAATAAGAAGCATGAGCTAACAGGCCGAACAATGTTGTAATAATACAGTGTCTGTGTGATTATTTCGGGTATGGGCAACGGGGAAATGAATGAGCAGCCTCTGTCTACAGTAGAGCCTCCCAGACAAGTAGAGACGGAAGGAATGTCAGGAGGAAAGGGGCAATATCCGGTTCAAACCTGTTGCTAAGCCTCATTAGTGTGTCATCTAACACATCGTGTGTTGGAATAAGCCAAGTCATTTCAGCTCATCCCCTGAATGCTTAAATCGTGTAAGACATTTCTCTGTTTAAACCACAACTCCATCTGCATCCTGCCTTGTCGTATTGCAGACAGCCCAATTTTAAGTTTAATTCCAAATATGTAAATTGGTCCCTTGGCTTGACTAGGTAAGGAATCTTCACTTTCATCACTGGCAGAGATTTGTTCAAGGATTTAGTCAGATTTACATATTAACAACTAACCTTTGAGAAGAGGATGAGAAATGCCTATGGGATGTGAATTATACAGATAACACGATGGTCCAAGACTAGCTGAGAACAAATCGCCTGTTCCTAAAGGGATCCTAAGGGGAACTAGCCCGGCAGTGCAAATTATATCCATAACAAGAATAGAGCGGGCCTCGTCATTGATAAGTGCTTGCTTCCCACAAAGTCTTTTTAAATCTTATATACAAGTGTGGATTCTTCACCAGACTGAGGCATGGAAGCTTCTGTTGCACTGAATTTATCAACATCCATTAGCTGGGTGAGCTGGTATCCAGCCTGCTTTATTAAAATTAGCAGCCCCCTGCATGCTTACCTTCCACCTCCATAGTTTAATTGCTTCTGTCTTCCTCTTGAAATCTAACCTTCTTTACTTTTGTCTTTATTGTCTACTACCTGACTTCTTTCACCAGCGCTGCCCGTTAGGTGGCTGTTGACACTCCCCTAGCTGTTTCCGTCCCTACACACGGTGGCCTTGTGCTTCACAAGTGTCTCCAGGGCACTTTCTCTGTGCCACATGGCTGGTAACCCCAGGGGACAGCCAGTATTTTTAGGGTTGGAATAAGGGCATCGGATAATCCATGAAGAGGATGTATCACAACGGAGAAAACATCTTATTTCTATTTTAAAAAGATTATTTGTTACTGCGGCATAACCTAGCTCATGACTGATACATCTGTGATGCCATTGTCGTGATATTGTATCTACAGTTCCCACAAGAGTATCTGACTTAAAACAGACTCCATACACATCTGTAGAAGAGATGGAGGAACCAACATAGCCTATGGAAGTTTCTAGACAGTTTCCTCAGCAAAAGAATGATTTGAATAATTACAAGAGCAAAAGTATTAAGACAAGCACAGAAAACCATTTAAACCTCCAGCCAGAGATAATAAGGAGATGGTCAGTGTGGACCAGAGCTCTCCACAGCCCGTTCACTAGCAGGTACTGTTTGGTCCAGTGAATCGTACACAGCCACAGTCTGACACAGTAACAAACGTAAGCTGTAAGGCTGTAAAACCCAATGCTGTTTTAAGAGTAAAGTTGGAGTCAGAACCACCAGAGAAGCCTGTGGATTTTACGCTGACTAGCCACACGCAGGGTCCTGAGAGACTCCTAGCATACCCACAGAGTTGCTGGACTGTTCACAGCTCAAGGCTGTTGCTGTGTTTCGTTCAGAACCTTGTGATTTGAGGCAGAAACTGTGGGAGCCTCGTGAGGAAGGAGTCAAGAGAAGGGAGCATACATTTTGGAGTGGGAGGTTCAAATCCTTGCCTGTCTTACTGTCTACACGACCGCGTGCAAGTTCCTGGGCCACACCGTGCCTCACCCTTCGCACCTGCTAAACAGTTCTAAGACAGCATCTATGGCAGCAGGTACTCAGAAAAGCCATTTAAGGCTACCAAGAAGTAACTGTGCAAGGATTCTGTCCCCTCCAGAATGTCCAAGTAGAATTTGATATACACTCCAACAATTCTCTATGAAAACAAGTTTAGCTCTCACAATGAAAGCAAAAACTTCTATTGTTTTCCTCTCTGTGCAGCATATAAGGAAGTAGAATTCACTAAAAGAAATGCTATTTGATTCAGTCTACACCTAGGGCAGACATGATTTCAGGCTTAAAGGACTCTAGGAGAAACTGTGGGGTCCCTGGTCTACACAGCAACTCTTTCTATGAAGCAGAACAGAGCGCAGGGATTATCTTCCAGTTTGTAAAATCCACATCAGACTTTGGAAGGAAGAAAAGGCTAATTAACCAAAGTTGGTATAATCTCTACAGAAGCATAGTATCTTGGGCTTGGTGATACAGTTCAACAGGTAAGAACTGACTGGCTGCTCTTCCAGAGGACCTGGGGTCAATTACTAGCACCCCATGGTAGGTCCCAACTGTCTGTAACTTCAGTTCCAGGGAATCTGGCCTCCACAAGCGTCAGACACACACACACACACACACACACACACACACACACACACACACACACGATACACTGATATACATGCACAGACACCTCTACACATGAGATGCCAAAACAAAGTAACAAAAATTTCAGAACCATTTCAGCTTACCCTCATTTCTAGCCCGCGGCTTGATACACGTGATTCCTGATGTTTTACTTCCGATTTGTACGTAAAACTGAACAAGTCTGGAAGAAAACCAAACAAACACATAGACTTTAGCTTGCTTGCAAACAAAAAGGGGGCAAAACCCTCCTAACATTCTCAAGTACCGCTTCTAAAGTCAGAGGGGCAGAGAGACATACACGATAGTAAGTTAACTCGGCAAGCATCTAAAAAGTTAATTGACAGGGACAATGACTTCATTCTGTACACTGATCTAAAGAAAACAAAGGAACTCCATTTCACTGCGACAGCTAGTGAAATTTCACAAGTTAAAAAAGAAATCTTTAGATACCACAATCTTGGAAACTCAAGATGAGGGAATGAATATTTCCCACCAAGACGTTAAAGATTCTAGAAGGGCAGACCGTCGCTTGTCCGATACTGATTTAGAGTGAGCGGGCTAAAGCTCCCACACCTGACACTCAGTGTGATGTAATTTGTGCCTGTGCCCATGGCAACCAGTGAATCCTGCTGGGCAGGCAGACCCTAGAGGGCAGGATGCTGAAGGAACATGGAACAGACGAATGGTAGAAAAACCACGAAGGGTGACATTGGATTTTTAGCAAAGACCACGCCTGTTTGTTCTCACTTTCTTCCTCCTAACTTCCAGGCAGTCTAATTGATGTAAAAGGCACGGATCATGTTAGGTGTGCTACCAATTTCACTTGACCTTAGAGCCAAACAGTTCTTAGTTTGACCAGTAGGTGGCAGGGCAGGCATTGAAATTTTGGGGGGGGCAGCTTTCACTAAGTGACCACAAATGGACCACCTCGTACACAGAGGAATCAGTTTCAGACATCAAATTTGAAGTTGAAAGTATATTTACTTTGTCAGTTTACATTAAGAACATGTAAGAGCTTACAGGATAACAGAACTTTTGCAAACTAAGGTGAATATGTAGCAGACACAGAGGTCTTGATAAGTACGGGCTGATTGAGGAACTATGGTGTGATTTTTTGCATTTCCCCATCTATTTTATTATACAGCTTGAGCCAAGCTTCATGTTTTGCACATGCAATCCGCAGGTAGAAGTGTTATACGAGATACGCAGCAACAGTCATCTACTATGCTCAGGAGAACTGTTTCAATCGACAACTTGCCTGATATTCCTGGTGTCCAGAGGCACTGTTCTGGCTTCCCGTTTCCCAAGGCCATTGAAGTAGAGGGACCTGCCATCGTTGAGAGTCCCACAACCGGTCCCAACCTGACCTCCTGTTATCTTGTACCACAGTGGGCTCAGCTTCCCTTCGAACCTATCGAACATCTCACTGTGGTTGGGGATGTTTGACACACAGGTCCCTTGGGCAGCTTCAGAGAAAACCAATGCAGAAGTTTTGTTAGAATCACTAAGTGTGAACATACGCTTGATACATGAACAAGGAGAGTTCCCATCGTGCAACCGTCTGTCTAAAGGCGGCCATTATTACTAACATAAAAGCTGTTACTAGGTGTGTGCTGTGTGCCCGAAATCCCAGCAGTTGGGAGATGAAGACAGAAGAATCAGAAGTTCAAGGCTCTCCTTGGCCAAATAGTGAGTTCAAAGTCAGTTTGGACTACATAAGACTCCCCTCACAGGGGTTCCCAGGTCCAAGGAGAGGTCCCCAGATTGTTCCTTGGGCAGCAGAGGAGAGGGTGCCTGAACTGGCCTTGTCCCATAGCCACACTGATGAATATCTTGCATATCACCATAGAACCTTCATCTGGCGATGGATGGAGATAGAAACAGAGACCCATATTGGAGCACTGGTCTTAGCTCCCAAGGTCCAAATGAGGAGCAGAAGGAGGCAGAACATGAGCAAGGAAGTCAGGACCATGAGGGGTGGGTCCACCCACTGAGACACTGGGACTGATCTAACGGGAGCTCACCAAGTCCAGCTGGACTGGGAGCATGTGATCAAACTGGACACTCTGAATGTGGCTGACAATCAAGGCTGACTGAGAGGCCAAGGACAACGGCACTGGGTTTAGATTGTACTGCATGGACTGACTTTGTGGGAGCCTGGTTTGTTTAGATGCTCACCTTTATAGACCTGGATGGAGGGGGGAAGACCTTGGACTTCCCACGGGGCAGGGAAACCTGACTGCTCTTAGGACTAGAGAGGGAGGGGGAGGTGGGGAGGGGGAGGGAAAAGGGAGGCGGGAAGGAGGTGTAAATTTAAATTAAAAAAGACTCCCCTCACAAAGATAACAAAAAGAAATCAATGAAATTTGCTATTTTTGTCTTTTAATTTTTACTTTTTAAAAAAGATATTTTTTCAATTAAAAAATCATATATATGCATGTTTTCTTGCATGTATGCATGTCTGTACAAGCAAGTGCAGGAGCTTGTGGAAGATGGAGGCATTAGATTCCCTGAGAATTACAGGGACAGTGGTTATGAGCCACCCAATGTGGGTGCTGGGAAGATCACTCTGAGCTCTTATCCACTGGGCCATCTTTCCAGCCCTTGTTACTTATTTATTTCTAAAGGAGGACTGATACCGGGAATCTTGGCTGTCTACGGGTGTTCCCACCTTGTGTGAGCAGAGATCCTGCCCACGATAAAGCCATCCATTTACTGTCTTGCTATTAAGAGGCTCATGAGGACAGTCAGCACAGAATTAGAAAATGTCGCCCTTGAAACTGTGCTTGACACAGAAGGCTTGCAAGAGCCAGCCAGTCTGTCTTTGGTTTCTCGTCAGAGAAAGGCCTGAGTATCAAGTTGGGAAGGGGTCTTTTGATTTTGCTGCCAGGAACACTTTAGAAGCAGATTTTATAGCTTAAGATATGTTTTTTCCAATTTTATGCTTTAATCTCAGATCTCTCAAAACTTTTGCTATGGCAACACCCAAAGGTGGATGTTGTTTAAAAAAAAAACCTTCTCTTTTGACAGACTTGGGCTTAGTATTTTATATTCTATTTTAAATTTAAATGTAGAGAAATATATTTCATGAGAGAGAAAGAAAGAGCGAGAGAGGGAGAGAGAGGGAGAGAAGGACACACAGAGAGAGAGAGACAGAGACAGAGACAGAGAGAGAAAAGCTCAGGGAGACTCTGAAGGCATGTAGTGAAGAACTTGGTTTGGGTTTTAAAGATTAAATGTCTGAGTTCAGAACCCATCTCTAGCAATGCCTGGCTATGGAACCCAAGAAGAATAGTAATCAATCAATCAATCAATCAATCCACTCTTTGCCTTAGTTTCCTTAAATGTAAACAGGGCTAGCAGTACTGTGGGAACAGTTATTCTTAGACTCAAACTCAATAAAATGAAAGTATTTGCTATAATGTTTGGCATGGTGTAGGGCTCCAAGCAATGCTCACTATGACAGCTACTACTGACAAACACATCCTTTCTAGGGAGTGGACTTAGCAGGTTTTCTTTCTAGGTGGCTTGAAACTGCAGAATACTCAGCAGCTCAAGTACTTGGGTGGCCAAGTTCTAGAATTCTTAGACACAGAAAGTAACAAACCCAGAATCTGTTGTCTGTGTGTGAATGAGCTTTCACAAGCAAACTGCCAGAGACACATGTTGGCCTTACCCGTGTATCCCAGGTCACAGAAACACACGCCCGAGATGCAGTCTCCGTGGCCACTGCAGTAACTGGGACAAGGTTCTGATATGTACACTCCATCCAAGCCAAAGGGGGGCACGTTCTTCTGCGCGCTGCTCTCTTGGATCCATCGGAATCTGGTCTTACTGTTGGGAGAAACACGTCTGTTCTTAATGGTCACATCTCACCAGACAGAGGAATGCAGAAAGGCCCAGACGGCTTCACCAGAGCCGTGTACCCTGAGAGGCATGCCCGTGTGAGGCACAGAGACCCTTCATAGGGTTCTCTCAAATCTTCCTCAAACCTGCCTGATCTCCTCTTCAGCACAAATAGTTTAATTCCCGGGAGAGATGAGGCACAACGGTCTGACATTTTTCCTGCAAAGGAGTCTTATACCAGATACATCATAGGTTTTTATACCAGATATATCTTAAAGGAGCCTTATACCAGATACATCATAGGTTTTTTTTATACCACATATACCATAGGTTTTTGTTCACGTATTTTCTTGCCCCGTGCTCTTTAAGGCATAACCAGAGATTGTCCTTTTTAGTTACTCTCCCCCCTTCTATCACGTTAATTTTATGGATAGTTTTAGAGAAACTATTTGAAAAAAATGTAAATTTACAGTTTGACAATTTCCTGCCTGTAGCGTAATGTATTTTGATTATGCTTACCGGTCATAATGCTTTCTTATTCCCCTGCTCCCTGACCCCAATGCTCTCTCTGGACCCCTTCTTTCCAGCAGAATATTTGGCAGGTTTTTGAGGCCATCAGATGTAATGAGACTCTGGGTATTTGGTATTGACAAGGGAAGGCAAGAACGTGGGCAGAAAGCTCTAGTGACACCCGTGGTTCCCTCCTTCCTCCTCATCTCACCTTTATGTTTCTAAGATGCTTATTCTGCGATTTCCTAGTAACCAGACGGGATGCCTCTCAGCACTGCTAACCAACAAAGAAAAATTCCCTTTATTGCCTTGGGTTGGAAGAAGCAAACCGAGCATGGCTTCACGGCTGCGACCTGTTTGCCTTTCTCTACATTGTCCCTGACACCCGATGCCTGCTTCTGGGCTCAGTGATGTAACATTGGGTTTGAATACAGTAAGTTGCTGCCTTCGAAGGTGCTGGAATAAGGAGAGTTATAAAGAATGAAGAGGGAACTGAGTGTGACCATGAGGAACCTGATGAGCGGTGGACAAATATGTGGGGGGTAAGTTATAGATGCTGGACCACAGGGCATTTGGGAAGGAAAGGCATGAAAGAAGAAAGCATACAGTTGAAATCCATTGCTACACCTATCCTTAAAGTGTTTTCCTGAAGTTGGTAGCCCTAAAATATAATAATTATTTGAGATGCAGACATTTTAGTTTAAGTAAATGTCTATTCATGCTGTGGGTTCCTAACTACATTCTGAACGTTAATTCTCATACCCACAGATAGTGTAGTCTTTCCCCTGCATTAAGGAAGCTTCTCTTTGCAACAGACAGAGATAATTACAGAAAGTCACAACCGATCAAAATACCAAGTTGTGGAGCCCAATCCCAACTGATACCTCTAAAACCCAACTCCTGCACCCAAGGCTCAGGGGTCATGGCTGGTAAGAGTCAGGGGAACAGGGAGCTCGCTATGAGATTGTGTCTCCTAGTAATATGAGAATCTACATCCACAAAGTGCACCAACGTGTATCTGCCTAAGCAGGAGCTGGAGAAGGGCAGCCATAGACACGCTGGCTTGCGAGGGGAAAGGTTCAGAGCCCAGGAAGCCTCAGCCCTGCACAAAACACTGCAGACAACTAAGGAATGCCAAGTGTAAGAAAAAGTCTTCTCCAAGGGGGAGCATACCAACTGATTATCCTATACATACACACAAATAAAATAACACTGACTGAGCGGGCTGCACCCATGTATTTAGGAACACACACACACCTACACACCCACACTCCTAACAGTGGTGGCTGAGAAAAGAGGCCATCCATTTAAGAAAGAGTAAGGAGGGGTCTATGGGAAGATTTGGAGGAAGGAAAGGAAAGAGAAAAATTATGCAATCATAATACACTTTCAAAAATAAAAGAAATAATTAAAAACGATGACGATGATGATAAAGAACTAGCCAGACCACCCCAAAGAAGAAGGAAATAAGGCAAAATTTAGACAAAATGTCTATATTTCACTTTAATATGAAGTAGGCACACCCTTTGCAATAAGTTATTTGCAGATTTCTTGGGTCTCAATAGGGATGCCTCTGAGAGTTGGGAGAGACACAGATGCCAGCATAGATTTACCACCTCCATGTCTGTCTTCTGTAGGCAAGAACTGGGCGGGCTCGTGGGAGCACGGACTTTGAAAAATCCCCTTAGAATTACTTCTGAACGAGTGAGGCCCTTCACTCCTGTAAGCATGCTGCTTCCTGGCAAAAACAGCTCCACGTTCTGACACTCAGACTCTCAGCTTCTGAACACTGCATTTGGGGCTTCCTGAACTTAACATATTGCAGAAAGTAAACCGACAGCTCATTTGCTTGGGAGAAATAGAAACATATTTACTGCTCTTTAGCAGAGGACCCTTCACCACAAACGCCATCAGTCAGAAAGCTGGGGAGAATCCAAATTAATCAGAAGCTGGATTTTAATGAAGAACATTTCTTTTTTTTCTCCAAAAATTGAAATACAAAAAAAATTTCAAATACTGAGAGACTCAAAATATTGGCCATCTTAATGATGTGAAGGCTGAGCTTTTCTGACTTCTCATAATGTGGTCTTGCCAACTTCTCCCCACTAGAGAAGAAACTGTAATTTACAGATTTAGTCACAGTTCTCAGAAATCACGTTGGGCTTGTGGGCGATACTCTCTGCTTTTCTAGTGATGTTTTCATCACCTTGATGCTCCAATCACTGCAGCAAGGGGTCCCCTTGATGCTTATGTATTCGGAAGAGCTGTTTTGTGTCCACGGCTTCAGAAATCATGAAGGGGGTGGTTGAGGTGAGAAAACAAAACAAAACAAAAACGAAACAAACCACTCAAACAGGGCTGCGCTGATACTGGCAGCTTCAGAAGATCGGGAGGCGAGAAGACACGGCTGTCACAGAGTTTCCAACGGAGGCGAATGATTCCTCAGAGAGAAAGGCTTACAGCGTTGAAACCAGGAGCCCAGAGCAATGGACAGGAGGACTGCTCTCAGGGACAGCTGTCTTAGAGAAGGACATTCCTGTCCCAGACATTGCTTTTGGATAAAGGAAGCTGAATTAACGAGCTCCTTGGCGAAGCTCAGTCTTCCTAGGGGCTCAGTAACTGACAGCCATGAACTTCCCATTTCTTCTTGTCCCCTCTGTTTTGTTTTTCTCCGCTAAACCACAAAACAACCCTGGCATAGAAAGGCAAAGAAACTACATGTAACTGGACTTGGATCTGATGGTTGAATGCTTGGTGGCAAGTTCTTGAAACAGCAGATACCTTAAGATTATGCTTCAGGGTTTATCAGACTCACACGGAATTTTACGTCTTTGATCCAACAAGCAATCCAGATATTTTCCCACCAACAGCTATTGAGCATGTTCTTGGGGTTACACACTTAACTGATGATGAAGGCCGACAGAACAACCGGCTGGAGTAGTTAGGTCATGCTCAGGAAATCTGTGATCAACTAGGTGAAAATGTGACAGAAAAAAACAGTGCTGAGCAGCCTTGGGAACATGCTGCTTTCCTTGCCACAACACCGGAGTGTGGGACAGGTTACCCTCGGCCACAAACAACTCCGGACCCTGCGAATTATTCCAACACAAGCTTATTTCTCACCTAGTTTAGGCATCCAGCACAGGTTGGCAAAGAATCTGCTTTACTGCACCTGAGGCCTGAGGCTGGAGCATGCTTTAGCTCACTGCAGGGAACCCTGGGAAAGCACCTGAGTTCTAGTAAGCTAAGTGCTTCAGACACTCACATTTTATCATGCCATTTTTTTTTTCAAATTAGGCCATCTGTTAAATTTTGAAGAATGTGGCATAAGCCTACCTTATTCCAGGAAATAAAAACTCTTGGAGTATAGATAAATGACACTAGTGAGTATCCCAACTCTATATGTCACAATATCAAGAAGCAATATAAACAACTTTGTGTTGTCATTTCAGTTCTGAAGTCAAAGGCCTTGACTGAGACACGCTTAACGCCGCACTCCAGAGTTTAATTACAAAGTGTCTACATGAAGAATGTTTCTTTATCCTTCCTAAAATGATAGAGTGGAAAATAACGATCTCGCTCTTCTACTTTCTATATCTGAAACAAAGTGCTATTAAATTTATTCTATATTATTGTACCTGGAAGAACACATCTTCACAAAAAATCGCACATATCTGCTTTATATGTTTATTACCAATGGAGCGGAAATGATTCTGCGTCACTTAGCTGCCAAGCGGCTGAGAGCTAAATTGGTCCCTCCTTCATGGAAACTGATTCACTTCAAATTTTCAGTCCATTTCTATTGCCCTCTTTCGCTGAACTTTTAATTTTTTTCTGTTATTATTTGTCTTAGCAGTCAACTTAAAGCGCTCATTTACACTGCAAGACCCTTCACTTTTCTACGTAAGGAGGCATTAGGTAAATAAGATCTATGTATGGAAAAAGCCTGACGCAAGGCCATGTGGTTCTTTCAACAGCTTTGTGAGCTGCTGTGTGCCAGTGCCCAGAACTGTACATGGCACAGACAGGTGGTGAGCAAATGTTTATTTAAAGAGTTAATAGTTAGTGAGTATATAGGCTTCACCATCTACTTGTGCTATTTCGGCAATTCTACTTCAGGTGAGTTAATAGGCTTCGCCATCTACTTGTGCTATTTTGGCAATTCTACTTCAGTTTTTATTTTTCACCTCAAGTCACACCCTGGGTAGGAGTGGCCAGACTGTATGAAGCAATGGCACACAAGACAGACAGACAGACAGAGGGGGGGGGGCTGCCGTACCTGGATGCCAGGGACCTTGGAATGGCAATGGTGATTCTTGTCCATTCTTCGAAGTCCCCAGTATAATAGACGGTGGGCTCACTCAGTTCCCGGGAGTTCCCTTCACATCCTTTGCCTGCTGAAGCTGGAAAGCACCCTTCCTTCACCAGAAACCAGGACATGCCCGCGTCATGAGAGTACTGCAGGAGAACCGGGGCAGCGCTGCTGAACTGGCTGGCACACCCTATGTTCAGCTGTTAAGAGGAAGGGCAGGATTAGACAGGGCGTTCACTCAAAGATACCGGTCATCAGATGAGGAGCGGTGACAGCCAGGGCCCTGCTTCCAAGTCAGCATGACAGTTCAGAGACGAGGAGGATACAGGTCAGACTCAGCGCAAACCCTCTGTAAATTCTGGAAGGTTTCACTTCAGTAGAGAGCTAGACAAGTTCTCATCATGTCGGTTTCTGGAGCCAGGGACGGTCTTCGTTCTCATTCCCAGAGGACACAGGCAGGTAAGGAGTCTGAGAGGGAGCTACCCAGAGGGAGGGCTGCCTTGCCTCTACTTGCTGTAGAACAAGAGTCATACACATCTCTATCTATCTATCTATCTATCTATCTATCTATCTATCTATCTATCT